CTGGGGGATGCCACCTTTTCCTTGAGATGCTAGTACGTATAAGGGGGCATTTCCTTGTTTCTCCAGCTACCTCCCAGGAACACAGAGGGAGGAAAATTTTTTGTTCCTAGAGGTTCCTTTCCTGTCAGTGGCAAAAGCCTCCATGATCAGCTCAGGCACAGGACAGCGGGAGCACACAGGGCACCTACCACCCTGAGCTAGGTGGCGAGCAGGGCAGTCGAGTGGAGGACAGCACCTGCTGGAGCCACCTGTTGGGATTGGGACATTTTAATCATCAACGAAAGGCCGCTTCGCAGCAACATTAGGGCGTCTCCCCTGCAGAACACCTCGCTTGGGAGATGCAGGGTGGTGGGACGGCTGCTGGCTTATGCCTGGCCCCGAGCTCAAGGACCCAGCTGGGCAGCGCAGGGGCCCGGGCGCCCTACCTTGTGCATCTGGTGCATGTTGTCCTGAGGGTATCCTCCGGGCCCCTGGGTTGGGATGGGGTGTCCTGCCGAGGGAGGCCCCGGGCTGGGCCCCATCATGCTGTGGGCGGAGCCCGGCGAGGGCCCAGGGCTAGGGCCCAGCATGGCTCCAGGGGAGGGGCCCGGGCCCGGGGAGGGGCCTGGCCGAGGAGTTCCACCCAGAGGTGGGTCCGGCGTGGACATCTTCACCCGAGCTGTGGGCAGGGGTCTCCTGCTGGAAAGAGGTCCTGGTCAGGCCGAGGGTCCCCGCCACCGCCTGGGCGGGTCAGGACTCATGAGGGAGGGGCCCCCAGTCATGTCGGGAGCACCATGGCATCTCGGTATCTCAGACAGGCGATACATCCGGCGTAGGAAACCGAATCCAAGTGCCCGGGGAAGGGCTGGGCCGCGGGAGGTGGAACAGTCAGACACCGCCCCGCCGGGGGCTCCGCCTCCCTTGCTGGGCAATCACAGCAAGAGGCCGTCTCGCGGCGGTGCTGACACAGCCCTCAGGCTCTAGTACTTGTGCGCCTTCCCAGTCTACAGGAAGGAAGAGCAAGCCCGCGGCTCGGTGCCCTTGCTGGCAACAGCACCTGACTGCACCTTCAGGTATCCAACACGTCAATGTTGGTGGCAAGCGACACTGGTTTTCCATTTAAGGCACTCAGACCCAAGTTTCCTTTAAAATGAAAGAATTTAAGTTTAAAAAGTAGGTTCACTCATTGAAAGCAAGGATTACATAAATAGTGGTGAGCCAAAAGCTAAAAAGAAATCCAGTGATGATGGTCGATTCCACCTGCTATGACAGGACTGTGCGCTGACGCATTTCATGAATGCTTTCTACAGTAAGGGTTCAGCGTTCGGGTAACCCTTCATCGTTAACGCAGTCATCTGTGGCCTGGGATACAATTCTAACCGAATGTCCTCTCTCATGGGGATGGAGTGATACATTCACAGGGCTGGAATCCGGAAAACCTGAGAATACGGAAATTGAAAGCCACCCAACAGTGCACCAGCCAGAGGGGAAGGGCTTGCTGGCCCCGCACAAGGCAGGAAGTAACAGTGCCCTCCTCACCCCCTCCCCCCGGCAGGGCAGGTGATGGTGTGTGTGGGGAGACAGCTGGGGGCTCCTCAGCGGCCCGGAGAGCCCCCAAGAGCCACAAGGACGGAACCAAGCCACCCAAGGTGGGCCATCTGGGGGCAGAGCTGCCCTGGTGTTGCCACTGGGACCCTGTCACCCTTCCAGACTGCTCCATGCCCACTCAACAGGAGCACTCAGCACATTCTAGGCAAGCTCTTCCCCA